AGACAGCGCGGAGCTGGCTGCGCTGCTGGGCTCCTCGCTGGAGTGTCTGGATGACAACTGGGACCACGCCGGGGACAAACTGAAGGAAAAAATCAAGGCGGTTGGCAAATTGAGCTCGTCTTGACCCCCCCAAAACTACTGCACCTGGACTTTAATCCTTTAGCGACTGCATTTTTCTTTAGAACCAAGCAGAGGGTTATGATGATTTTTGCCTTAGCCATGACCCTTAGTTCCCCACGCCTCAGCCCGGCTCTGGATCAGCACTGGTGCACTGTATAGACGGACTGACCTGCTGGCTAACTGGGCTGCTGAAACGTTACCCTCTGACAACTGAGTTTCAGAATATTTGTGACTTAATAATGGTCTTATTTTTATAAATTAATATATGTATAAATTCATAAATATATATAAATATATATATATAAATAATAAGAGATTTTCTTTTGTTGCTCACGACTCCTCTCTGAGAGATTTTCTATGGCAACAGGGTGTAGTTCTTGTTGTCAGTGGAGTGTGTGAGCGCGCAGCACACTGTGCCTGTGTGTAGCTGTACAGGATAGAACTGAGGCTGTGCTATTGAATGTGGTATTTGTGTTTATAGGAAGCACATGATGTCCTGTTTTTTTTTTTTTTTTTTCTTCTTCTCCTCAGACTTCAGCGCCGGCTTTGGCCTCAGGGGTGATTCTGTTGTATCTTTTATTTTTATTTTTATTTTAACGTTCAAGTTTTTCGCTTCCTGTGTAGTCTGCATTTTCACACGCAAAACTACAAAAAATTGTTTGTATAATAAAAGTTTTAAGATGATGTTGATATTTCCCCTTCAGCACAGAGCTTGTACATAACAGGGAAGCTACTGCAGTAAAGTAATTTTTGGTGTGTTCATTTTTTTTGTTTTAACTTTGTAATTAAAATATCTCTTAATTTGTATTTATATTTTACAAAAGAAGTTGCTTAAAAATAAATATACAAACTGCAAGAGAAAGTGTGTTCCTGTTTTCTATTCAATGTCGCCTTTGAGGATGAGGAAAGTAGTTTTGAAGGCTGCCCTTTAAAATAAAAGAATTTTTTTCATCATTACTGATGAAGCCCCTCTACGATGTGGACTACAAAGTAATCCTGCATTGCCATCTCTTGGAATACTTTTGTATTGTCCGTGTCATTCATTTTTTTTCGCTGCAGCCATGACTGAGAAACCCACAACCTCCCATTTGCAGCCTCTCTGTGCTGAAGGCTTGCAGCGCCCTCCAGTGGGCAGAAACTGTAACTGATGTTCAATTGAATTCGCTTTACTGCTAAATCAGACTTTACGTTGATATTAAGTTTAACTCAATGAGATAGCTGGGTGACTGGTGACCTGAACAGGTTTCATCCAGCCTGGATGGATGGACAGGAAGATAACTGAATTATCACTTCAATAAAAAGTGAAGTAGTGCTATTTTTTTCTTTCATATTAAGGGTCAAAGAGAGTATGTTATTGTCTTCATCCAACAACTGGGCAAAATTGGTCACATCTCTGTGTCATTTGAGTAAAAGACGAAAACACAGACTGAACTAACAAGCCTGGTCTGTGTATCCAAAGTCTGACTGATTTCTTTGCACCTATTAATCGATATTAGTCCCACTGTGGCAATAAGTAACATTTTTTTATCGTCTTGCAATGGGCACTGTTTGTTTTTAGGCATTCCGACATACACCAGCCCCAAACAAATACACCATACCCTCCTGTTTGAGTAAAGCTAATCCCTTTAAAAAAATACCTACACCTACAGAGTCACACAAGACAGAGAGAATGAACACTAAATTCCCAGCAGCTTTGTCTAGTTCACAGAGCGGGTGCATGGGAGTTCTGCTGGCAGGCTGACAAGACTAAAACTCAGGAGCAGTTTAGCTGACCATGGAGCTTCACAGTAAACCAGCTCCCATGGGGCAATAGATATGCAAATCTTGAGTACTCCTCTGAAAAAGGATTAAGCTGATTAAAATCACCATCAACCTCAGGAACCATCTTAAGATCTAATTTTATTTTTAAAAAAGATCACTAAGAATCTGCAACGGTACCGATCATTGACGGTATGAAGTTGGAGCTGTAGCTGTTGTCTCCAGTCAGAGAGGAGTTACCTCATTTCAACTCTCCAGGTGAAGGTCAAGGAGCTGCAAGAGGCTGTCAGGCAGCTAATTAAGATCCTAAAGCAAAGTTCAGCCCGGCAGACCTGAGTCAGAGAGTCAGAGAGAGAGAATTGGCAGGAGGTTCACTCTCCCGCTAGACTGAACAAAAAAAAGAAGATACAGGCCTACTGTAAGTGACCCTCTGATATACAGAGAAACTGTCCATTGATCTACATACGTATTAATTAAGATTTTATTTCATTGACTCAGATTAGTAACTTTAACTGATCACTAGAGATGGTAGGTTAATTCAGCCGTTTATACGCCCTGTGTCAACAACAACTTTATGACAGTTTGTGGCACAAAAGTCAAATAAATCAGACATATTCCTTCTGGAACTCACTCCCAAAAAACATCAGAGACTCCCCCACACTCACCTCCTTCAAGAAATCCCTCAAAACTCACCTCTTCAACGTTGCCTACAACCACTAACTCCCCCCTCCCCCTACATTACTTCTTCATTGTACTGTCCTCGTCGTTTTTTGTTTTGTTTAATGGTTTTATTTTTTGTCAAAGCGTCTTTGGGTTCCTAGAAAAACGCTATAAAAAAACAATATATTATTATTATTATTATTATTATATTCCATTTGATGCAATTGTTGATGATGGTCTACAACATGGCTCCTATTAATTAAAATATCAATAAATTAAATCAAACTGTCAGTTAATATTTGGCACAGGTTGGACTCTAACCATGGTGAATCCTCTCTCTGCACACATGGCAGGATCCCAGACCACTAAGTAAATGTAATGCCCTTCTCCAAAAGGATTGCTTTGAGTTTTTAGATAATCACACTTTTTCAAGATTGTGATGAAACTGCAGGAGACATAAACAGTTCAGGAATGACAGTTTGACGGCTCTTTTGCGGTTAAATCAAGCAACAACAACAAAAAAAAAAACTTTGTAATGTATGCACATTTCTGGCATTTTAAGCGTTTAGTAGGTTTACAATTGCTTTTAAAAGTTTTATGGGTTGAATAAGTCCTTGTGAATTTATATTTTTCAATAAGCCAGGCACACACGCACAGCACTGACAGTGTGTATGTTTGACTGTGTGTGTGTGTGTGTGTGTGTGTGTGGAGCTCACAAATATTACGCTGTCACTAAATCAATACAAATGTACAAAGATTGCTGAGCTAAGGTATGGCACTCCTGGGGCGCTGGTGGCGCAGTGGTTAGTACGCGCGCCCCATGTATGGAGGCTGTTGTCTTCCGACCTCTGGTTCCTTTCCTGCATGTCATTCCCCACTCTCTGTCTCCCTGATTTCCAACTCTGTCCTCTGTCCTGTCTCTCAGATAAGGGCACAAAAAGCCCTGAAAAAAATATATAAAAATAAGGTATGGCACTTCTGCAAAAGGTATTTTTTTTATTAACAGGCCTATAAACCATAACCAGATTCAACCACACTCATCTTGACCTTACAATTTCAATAATTACCCTCACTTTTTTAGTTTACTTTCCTTCTAACACTGAAAATTAAAGTGGATAACCTCCCCTGACATTCCCATTTTTTCATAACCAGCTTTATAAGGAATAGCCTACTCAGGGCTGAGGGCCCCTTTATCCATTGGGGCCCTGGGTAATCAGGTCCCCACCCATTATGGCGCCCATGATCAGGCGACACATCAGCGAGTGTTCTGCTGGAGGGCAGGACAGTGCTTACAGTTATACTACGACCAGGGCCGGCCCGTGGCATAGGCAGTATAGGCAAATTCCAGGGGCGCCTGCCGTCCATACGGGACATCCTGGTACCCGAAATGAGTGAGGAAGAACAGTTGATGAAAATAAGAAGAAAAAAGAAAGAAACGTGTGTTTAACTATTACTTAATGTTATTTTATCTGCATCACCTATTTAAAAAGGTCCTATTTTCTTGCTCCCTGCTCGTTATGTGCTCTTTGTAGTGGAGGAGGGCAGACTAGTTATCAGAAGTGATTGACACTGATCGTAAAGAAAAGCTGTAAACCATAAAGCTGTGAGCCAGTTTTCTTGAAGTGTATGAATATTGTGATTGGTGGTGGAATTGGTTGCAATACAAATGGTACCAGTTAAAATCTTGCCTAGGGCACCAAGTGGGTTAGGGCCGGCTCTGACTACGACACAAGTCACGTTTTCTAGAAGAAAACTCAAAATAATTCAGAGGTATTATTACCTAAATAATAATAATAATAATAATAATTTATTCAATTAACAAATTTAACAAAATTATCAAATAATTCAGAGGTATTATTACCTAAATAATAATAATAATAATAATTTATTCAATTAAATAATTTAACAAAATTATCAAATAATTCAGAGGTATTATTACCTAAATAATAATAATAATAATAATTTATTCAATTAACAAATTTAACAAAATTATCAAATAATTCAGAGGTATTATTACCTAAATGATAATAATCATTTATTCAATTAACAAATTTAACAAAATTATCAAATAATTCAGAGGTATTATTACCTAAATGATAATAATCATTTATTCAATTAACAAATTTAACAAAATTATCAAATAATTCAGAGGTATTATTACCTAAATAATAATAATAAATTATTCAATTAAAAAATGTAACACAATTATCAAATAATTAAGAGGTATTATTACCTAAATAATAATGATAATAATTTATTCAATTAAAAAATTTAACAAAATTATCAAATAATTCAGAGGTATTATTACCTAAATAATAATAATAAATTATTCAAAATTATTCAGAGGTATTCTCTTATTTTCTCCACACTCCGGTTCAGCTGGCGGCGGTAATGCATCTCAACGCTGTTTCCGACATCAGCGAATAAACACCAAAGAAGAAGAATCCTCTGGCCGTGTGGTGACGTCAGATCAGCTGATCGTCGCTGCACCGAGGAGAAAAGATGTCGCTGACAAACCGACGAAGGATGGAGGCTGTGTTCTCCGCGGCGTTTCTCCTCTGTTCCCTTGTCCCAACCGGTGAGAAATACACATTTATGGATAAACGTGGTTCACAAATGTTGTTGTTATTTTTCCCCGCTCAGCTAAAAACAAACAAACAGAGTCATTTATTTACCAACGATAGCTCGTTAGCATCGTTAGCATTGCAGCTAAAAGTCACTGCTCAGATATTTTTCTGCAGCAGGTTGTAAAGTATAAACGACACTTAAATGAATGATTGGCACTAAAAAAAAAAGTATGTTTTGTTCATGTATCGTTATATTGTACTGCCAAGCATGTAAATAAATAGATAAATAAAAAAACAGGTGTTCAGAATTGCTTGCAGTGATGATGATATTATTAAATTATTGCTTAGTTGTTGAGAAGAATGACAGATTTTCTTGGTTTTTATATATGTGTAAAGATGCACACTCCTTTTTTATCTGGTTACCATTTTACACAAGGTCATGTGACCTCCTGTAAACTGGCACTTCCTCTTTAACATTCACCATCAGCTCTCTGTCACGAGTTGAAGCCTCCAGTCAGGGCTGTGATATTTATCTTTACTCTGACTGCTGTCTCTTAAACCTCTCTGAGTGTTTGTGCTAAAGTGGACAATTAACATCCCAGTGAGAACTCATTGTAACACCACACTGAGGTGACGTTCCTCCACATTTCAGGAGCAAAACGGCAGTAGAAACTACTACTAAAAAACTACAAATCCCACTGTTGCATCCACCAAAGTGCTCTGTGGATGGAAAGTATAGCAGCAACTTGAGTTACGCACAGCAGTCTGAGTTTCCGCTGGGCGATATGGACCAAAACTCGTATCTTGATATTGTTGAGCTGAATGGCGATACTCGATATATATCGATATGTATTTGGAAAAATAAACTACCTGTTTGTGAATTTAAAAAGTAATATTATAAAATAGAAATGTTCCTTAAATACAATAAGAGAGAGAGAGAGGAGGAGCAGGGTGAAGAGGGACAGACAGTCAGACATCATCAGCGAGATTAGAAAAAGGTGACCTGGCACCTCTGTAATGTTATTTTAATGCAACATAAACGATATTGTCTTACCTTATATCTTGTTTGAAAACATATCGATATATCTTAAAAACTCGATGTGTTGCCCAGCCCTAGTCCTGGGTCAGAAAACAGTCCTAAAGCAACTTTTATCTTTTTTAAACAGACAAAGCATGTTTATTTCAAACTACTAGAACATTTCTATTGCTCTGTGAGCAGATGTGTTTTAGTGTTACTTATGAAAACGAATTGTCTAAATTCTTTAAATTTCAGTAGTCGTATGATTGCTTTCTATAGGAACTCCATAAGTAGCATCAACGCCTCGGCAACAGTCCTGGAAAAATGGCAGTCGTGCAAATTAGGTATTGACGATGTGTGGGCATTATATGTAAATATACACTGCCTGGCCAAAAAAAAAAGATCACACACTCTTAGTATTTTTCGTTGGACCGCCTTTAGCTTTGATTACGGCACGCATTCGCTGTGGCATTGTTTCGAGAAGCTTCTGCAGTGTCACAAGATTTATTTCCGTCCAGTGTTTCATTCATTTTTCACCAATAAACTGTATTGATGATTTGGAGAGTCGGTCCGCTGCGCAAAGTCTTCTCCAGCAACGTCCCAAAGATTCTACAATGAGGTTAAGGTCTGGACTCTGTGGTGGACAATCCATGTGTGAAAATGACGTCTCATGCTCCCTGAACCACTCCACCACAATCTGAGCCCGATGAATCCTGATGGATCATCTTGGATCAGCCCGTGCCATCAGGGAAGAAACAAATCCATTGATGGAATAACCTGGTCATTCAGTATATTCAGGTAGTCAGCAGGCACATAATGTTGCTGAACCTAGACCAACTGCAGCAACCCCAGATCACAGCTCTGCCCCCCCACAGGCTTGTACAGTAGGCATGATGATCACTTCATCTGCCTCTCTTCTTACTCTGATCACTCTGAAGGGTGAATCTTCCTTCCAGTTTTTAATAATGCATTGGACAGTTCTTAACCCAGTTTTAGTAGTTTCTGAAATCTCCTGAGATGTTTTCTCTGCTTGATGCATGTCAGTGATTTGACCCTCACACAGACTTAACATCTTCTCCACGACCACAGGAACACAGAGACTTTCAACATCGTAGTTTAAGAAATGAGAAGCTACTCATTGCATCAGTTTGCGTTAAATAACTTGTTGCCAGCTGAAAGATAATTGCCCATGCAGTTATTATCCAATGGGAGGCTCTTACCTATTTGCTTAGTTAAATCCAGGTGGCGACTTTTTTTTTGGACAGGCAGTGTGTTTATATTTTTTTAATGTTAAAGTAAAATGAGTAAATTACGTTTTTTAAAACCTCAAGAAGAAATGGTTCTAATAGCAGAAAAAAAACTTTCATTGAACATACATCAGCGTCATCAATAATAGTAACGTGAGTCACCAACTTTTTTACAAGTCTGTTATGAACATGTTTAAAATTATTTGTAGTATTTGTGGTGTTACATGTATTAATTTCTTTTTTCCTCACAGGTGTCCATGGAGACAGCCTCACGATACTGCAGGCTCCAGAGTTTGTTTCCTTCCAGAAGGGAGACTGGCCCGTCTCTGGAGAGAAGATCCCTGACCTGGTGGCTTTAACCATGGGCTTCTCTGTTCAAGAGGTGCTATGATAATTAAAATAATAATAATTCTCCACATTTTTAATATTCATGTGTATCTACAAAATGATGTGGCAGTGGGATTGAGTCACTCGTAGTGATGAACCTAACGAGAGTTCATTCTTGAATGTGCTCATCCCCTCAGAGTTACAGAACTTAACTGTTTTAAGCTCTTCACTTGGCTTTCCAGCTACAGAGAAGACGTTCCACAGAACCCATGTACTGTACATTACACACTTTCCCCTTCACCCCAGAAAAACACATAGAAACAATTAGCTTGCTGTGGAACACCATACAACATTTATCAGCTAAATGTTTTTATATTTTTCGCTGGAGCTGTTAAAAAACAACCAAAAAAAAGTTAAAAGAGTTGCAACTGCAAATGTTTCTACATCTTTTTTTGCTCCCCATACATTACCTACTGCAGGTTTATGATCATGAATGTGTTAGCTTTTACCTTACAATGTGTGTCTTATTTGTACAGGATCTGTCCTGGCCAGGCCTTAAGGCTGGTCCGCTGTTCCAGCGTCCCAGAGCCAATGTTCTGGTGGTGGTTAGAGGAGTAGACAGTCTGGACCTGCCTCAGAGTGTGGCCTCCTACCCTCTGGAGAATGTGAGTTAGACTGATATCAGGCTTTGTACATCAAATATAATGCCTTGTTGCGAACGTTACCAAAATCTGCATCGTAAGTGGTCTAAGCAGGTGTGTGTTTTGTTCTTCCCTGCAGCCCGTTCCCTTCACATTGGATAGTGTTGCTGAGACTGTACACTCTCTGTTTGCCGAGGACACCCCTGTAGTGCTGCAGCTGGCTCCCAGTGAGGAGGTAATGAAAACACACTGGTGTTGGGACACACTGAGGGTCCGGTTCGATTGCTGTAACTTCTAAATGTTTGTTTATTTTGGTTCTTCTAAATATGCAAATTTATCCCAGGCCTTTTGGGATTTTGTAACTCAAAGTGATCATACCGCCTGTTTGTATTTCTTTCAATAAAAGAAACAACAATTTTAAGAACAAAAAAAGAAAACACACTTGGATACAACTTCTAGTACCTACTTTTTTTTCTTTGTTAAATCACTCTTAGAAGGCTTGGCTGTTTTGACTTTGTACCTACTTGTTCTCTCTTTCAGAGGCTGTATATGCTGGGAAAGGCTAATGCTGTGTTTGAGGACCTTCCAGTCACACTACAGCAGATCCGTGCTCGTCTGTCCCAGGATGGCTCCGTGCTCGCTTCCCTTCCTCTTAACTCCCTCAGCAGGAATGTAGAGGTCGGTGTCAAACAGCTACATGGCAGCCACACGGGGCTGTACTGGAGTTTATAATGAATATCCTGATGCACTTAGCACAAGATACAACATGTACATTAAAAAGATACACAGCAGTACAGCTGGAAGTTTTACTGGCAAAGTCTGCAGATTCACCTAATCGATGCTGTTTTTGTCAAATTAACGATTAAAGTCTGTTTTCTCCTTGCTCTTTACTTATTCCACTTTCTAGGCTGATCTTCTCTTCCTGTCTGAGGTCCAAGTTCTGCATGATATCACAGCTCTGGTAAGGCTTTAGGATAACTAAGAAGTATTTTTCTGTCTCTAAATTGAGGATAGTCCTCTTCATTAAAGAGGATCCAACACCCAATTTTTCTTCTGTTTTTTGCAGCTGCTGAGGCACAAGCATTTGGCAAAGGACCACTCCCCTGACCTGTACTCTCTGGAACTGTCTGGACTGGAGGAGCTGAGCAGAGTCTACGGCCAAGACTCTCCCCAGTACCGTGATGCCACAGCCATTCTCGCCTCTGTTCTGCAGAAAGTAAGTTGAAGGTTGTCTGGACGCTTAATCACAGAGTATTCATAGTTTTTAATGAAATATCTGATGATACTTGTGTCTTTTTTCCGTAGTTTGCAGAAGATGTGTACGGCCTCTATGGCAATAGCGCCGTGGTGGAGGTCGTTACAGTCAAGAGCTTTGAGGCTCCTTTGACCAGGAAGTCCCGTTCGATCCTGGAATCCAAACAGATTGTAAGTCTGACGCTGAGGTGCTTTATGTCAATCTGTGCTGTCACTCTTGTTAGGATGTTAAAATGTGGAATGCATTAGAAAGACATCTCAATAATGACATTCAGTTTCAGCAGCACAACACATTTCAGCCACCAAAAAGAAGTTGTGTGAACCCCTGAGTTCAAATGTTTCAACAGAATCAAACATTGTAGTCTGTAACGGAGCTGTTATATACGTCAGCCTAATAAACTGGCACCTGACTCTAGGCCCCTTTCACACATGCAGTGCGTCGATGAAAATGTCCTAACATTGAGTGAAGTTTATCTGCTTCATGGGCTTTACTGTGGGCCTCAGTCTTCACTGTATGGTTTCATTATACATGTTGTCGTGATGTTAAATCCAGAAACAGTCACCAATCACCATTATGTAAAAATCTTCCTCCTCCTTCTGTACGCTCTAATGAGACACTCACCTTAACAAAATACAAAACATCATCTCCAGGAACCAAAAATACTTGATCACTCTTATAAAAAGGGAGAAGTGAAAGAGGGGAGGGCAGAGCTAGTCCTCATACTTTAAGGGCTCACTCACACTAGGCAAAGTTGTCCCGTACCAATGCTTAGGTACGATTGTCCCCCCCTCCTCACTCCCCCGCTGGCCTGCTCTCACACTGCTCCAGGCCTAACCGGGTCTGAGCACATTTACTTTTTGTACATAACGTCGTAATATACAACACATGCATGACTTTACATGAACATGAAGCGTGCTTAGTTTACAAGACAGACAGACTTGAGGAAGAAGAAAAAAAGAGAGACGTGTGGTCGAGTCCGCAGCCTCACATTGGAGAACAACACAGAGAACATGACAGTACAGATTGTCTAGTGTGATCTTAATGAATGTTACCCTCTTTTTATTCACATTCATAGAGTGTAAAGTCTGGTCTTGTATTTGTGTGGAATAATTCTGATGGTAGACATTTCTAACCTCCACAACTATTACTTCTGCATTCAAACTTCTCCATCTGTTTTTTGCAGAGTAACCCCGGCAGCCCGTACAACCTCGCCTATAAATACAACTTCCACTACGCTGTCATCTTCAACATTGTCCTCTGGCTGATGATTGCTCTGGCTCTCGCCGTCATCGCCGTGTCCTACAACATGTGGAACATGGACCCAGGATACGACAGCATCATCTACAGGATGACCAATCAGAAGATCAGGATGGACTGAGTCCTCCCGTCCAATCGAAACACTCCTGCTGTCCTCTTAGATCCTTCTCGTGAATGTTTGTGGTTTGTTTTTGTGCGAGGTCGTGTTTAGTGCAAACATACTGTGACAGTTTGACGGGAGGAAGGAAATCATTCTGAATCATTTCTTAGTTTAACGACGCTGGCATGATGAAGGACAAATAATTTAACAGTTCAGAAATGGTTTTTCAAATGATGCTACATGAAGCGGATCAGTGTCGTCCTCCACTGGTGTGCACAGCGAACAAATTCAGACTTCCTCCCTTCAACCTCACATCATTCCTTATGACTTAACCTCCTCACTAACTAGGTTTCATTTGTTTACCCCTGTTGACTGCAGTTGTATTTTTTATTGTAAAAAAAAAGAAAAGAAAAGAAAAGCTGTTGTAATGTTTTGAAAGAATGATGTTTGTCTGGTGCCCGTGTGAAGTCGTAGTGCTCGTCTTGCTGTTTGAAAGTGTTTTAAGTTAAATGAATTCTATGTGTATATATTGAATATACAAATGCAACTATATGAGAATCTGCTGTACTTCGATTGGGAGAAGAAATGTGCTGCGTTTATTCCAGGTAGTTCCCCCTGCTTCAGTGAAATGCATATCGGATGACATGATAACTTAAAGATACAATTGGTTGTTGTGATTGGTCTTGGATAAATGAAGCTCTGTAAATTGCAAGAAAAAGTCTGACAATAAATTATTACTTGGATCACGCTGACTGATGTTCACTTTATAGAGTCTCTAGTATTAATGCACTGATAAAGAATCCTTATTCATATCTGAGCATTTACTGTACATTCACTCTAGATTATTCTCTTCACTGTTTCAAAGAAGTGGAAAGTGGCTGATACGTAAAATGAAAATAGCTGCAGGGGGATTCTGAAGAAGAGCTTTATTTTATGGGTCTCATAATTTCCGAAAAAGCTGCTGATAAGTAAATTCGATGAGCTTCCTGGAAGGGAATATGCTAATCAGTTAGAATAGGCTACTAAAGAAAATGGAGACAGTCAACTCATATGCTTTTAATTAATTACATCCAGTTAATTTATTTTTGAATGTAGATTTTGTATCCTTTCAAGACCCTTTTTTAGGCCAACATGGACATGAAGACGTAAAGAAGAACTTTACACATCTATGTCAGTTTAACAAACTCTGACTGCTGATGAAGCACACGTGCTGCGTTTGAATCTCTGCATATTTTGTGATGCATAAACTGAATATATAAACGATTTATTCATTAGCTGTCCACAAGCTGGTGATAAAAAGCTACTTCCAGTATGATAAACTTCATCCAGACATTTTAAGGTTTATGACATCCGTATATACTCCTCTATGGATAACTTCAAACTTTAGAGTCAAAGATGTAAAATGTCTTGAGATTACATTTGTTGTGAATTGGCGCTGTACAAAAAACAAATGATTGATCGACTTTTCCAGTGGTTAAAAGTAACTAGGTCTATTCACCCTACCACTCTATAATTTCCATTTGCTGCTTTATATAACACTACATTTCAGTTACAGAAAAAGTGCATGACTGTCTGTCTGTGAGGGTTCATGACTAAACAGTGAGTCAGTTCAGCCTGATTCATGGATCCATCATGGTTTCTTTCTTGATCTGACATGTTCAGAATAAATCAAGCTATAGGTGTGAAGATGCAATCTCTGCTGCCTTGACGTTCATAAGCTCTGATACATGTATGATAAGTAACAAAGGGAAACAACCTTTTCTTTCTCTGAGGTGTTGATGTGTTGATACATAATGATTAACTCATGGTCTCGGACAATGGTAATTAAAAATATGGCATTGCCCCGCTCTGCTTCCAAACAGTTATCTGAACAATTAGAATAATTCTTTGACTCTTCATACTCATAGTTTATACAATTGGTAATACTTTTGTAATTGACTTATTTCTATAATAGCAGAGTTAAATTAAGAAGCACTAAAACCAGAACATCCATGTCCTCGAATAGCATTTACCCTAAAGCTGCCCACCTCCTTAAGAGTCAAAAAATAGACCTACAGGACAATTGTGCAACAGGGTTGTATCTCTAAAGGCTTTATCAGTGTTTTTTATTTATTTATGTTTTTGATATATCATATTCATTTGTATTTTGCTAATTTTATACTGTATACATCATTTTTATGCATATGGATGTTTATTACATATATTTGTTAAATAGTCCCCACAATTTACCTAATAAGTCAGAGGTTTATCTTTCCCCGCCATCCCTTTTTTTTTTTTTTTAAATAAAGATCTTACCAAAACTTATTCCATACAATCTTGTTGATATGGAATAATCATTTAAAATCTGAATCTTTGATTTAGTACTTTTACTTGAGTTTAGGATCCGAGTTCTTTTTCTATAACTGTTCATAAGTCAGCAATGTACAAACAAATATATTTTAAATGCAATGGTAATGTTTTAATTAAAGTATTTCAAGTCTTTAAAAAGGACACGATGGTGCACTCGGTCATGATTATGTACCATATGTTCTTATCCTTATTATGTTTTTGCCAGAAAAATGTCTAAGAATTATGTCAGGAAAAACGAAAGGACAGGAAAACATATTCAGAAAATAAATAAAAAAAATAAATAAAATAAGGTTTAACAATTAATCGAGTGACTACAATATTTTAAAACAGGATATTCTTTCAATCCTATTTTCTATCCCATATCTGCCCCTTTTCATAACCTCATTACTTTGTCCTCTGTAGACAAGATTACTTCACGTTGTGCTCGAAGCCTTATCGGTTGTGCTCAACAGCTCAGCCAATCACAGCTTAGAACAGAGCTGCAAGCCCCGCCCCTAATTGTAAGCGCATTTTGTAACTTCCGGGTTTGCTTTTGTAACCGTGTGCTGACCACCGCAGAAAGCTGCGTCTGCTTTGCAACAGAAGAAGAAATTAATCCACAGACTACAGCGGGAAACAAACATGGTCTGACTGCTGATTAAAGGTAGGACTTGGTTTTTCTTATCTTTAATTAAACAACCCGACTGTTAATGTAAAATGTTAATACTGTAAAAAACAACAACAACAACAACAACAACAACAACAACTACCTTGTGTGAATGAACCCTTCTACATACTTTATTATCATGTTAATTTCAGGATCTTTTGCACAACTCACCACTGTTGTCTTTTTCAGTGTTGTACATATTAATCTTTGTTTATTTGTTTGTTTATTGTTAATATTTAATGTTATACTTGTGTCAAATTCATTTTTTTTTTTCCAGCAAGCATCTACGTGGTGAGGAAGATCCGGGCTTCCATTGCTGAGGGGGAGCAACTGGAAAAACCCATTCTGACACCATGTAGTGCTATAGGTAAGACAACAACCACCACTACTACGACTCCTGCAGAGGAAGCAGCAGGATAGACATAATAATACATTTGCACAATAATGCATTAAACTGATAAAATTCTAATTTAAATTCAAATTCAAAAAACGTTATTTGTCCCCCTGGGGGGCAATTCAAAGGCACACAGAGCAGTACATTAACAACAGTGCAGGTACGAAACATTTTAAACCTACATATAAAGTGTGAATTTAAATACAACTTAAAGCTTAAACTTAAAAATACAAACTATAAAAAGAGTAGATATAAGTGGACAGTGATCGGACTAACAGATGTAAACAGAACTATGTGCAGTAAACGAGAAATAAATATATATATACAGAGCTATGTGCAAGTAGGCTAAATACTAAATGATAAGTTAACAAGGTGAATAATGGAACAACAGAACTAATATATACAATATAACTGTAAAGGTAAAAATGAGATAAATAAAGTGATGTAGTGCAATGATGGATAAGAAACATCAGAATACTGATATATAAAGGATAGAATAAAGTGATGTAGTGCAGGAGACCAGATAAAGCAGAGGCTGTTCAGGTGCACGGCAAATGGAAAGAAGTAAAAACAGCAAAGTTCACAGCTGAGAGCAAGAAATAACAATAATAAACATACATACAAACATGCATACATCCATAAACACAATCGGGCATACACAAGTCACATATGAGAGACAAAATTGATCTCAGTATCAACTCTAGTGTAAAGAGTTGAACTGGTCTGTAGACTTGGAAGATCACACAGTTAACTGTTTGGATCCCTGCAGCAGTTTTATCTTACACAGGGGGGTGAGATTACTGTTGAAGTCTTACATTATGTCATGTAACATGTTGTGAGATTACCATTATGTCATGTAACAGGTTTGTGAGATTAACAGTATGTCGTAACATGTCAGTGAGATTGGGGTTAATAGAGGTGTGGGGGGGGGTTGCCATGTAGGCCTATGGAGAGCTTTGTATTGCACACATCACTGATTGACAAGGATTCTTTTTTCTTCTTAGCTGAAATGAAAGAAGGACATGAGTCAAGAGGAAATGTCCCGGCTGTCGGGCTGAGCTCGGACCTGTTGGAGGAGTCGGTGGAGCAGCAGGTTTGGGAACATCTTCAGAGACAGCCGTGAAGAAATGTGGCTCCTCCTGACCCTAAGGAGCAGCCGGACATGTGGGGCTGTGGTCACCTTGGTGGACAAATACAATGTGTCATCTTTGCATTAAAGGACTATAATCCTTTGATGATTCCACTTAAAAACAGGACAATATACATGCACTGATCAACAATATGTAACAGAACCATGTGGGTTTCATTTCACATCTTAATTCACTGCTTTCTGGTTTCCATGTTGTCCAAGGTGGCTGATGTCTCGATCCTAATTGCTCATGTTTTGGCCTTTTTCACAGAGAGGATGCAAAGTAACCATGTAACAAAGAAACAGCTGCCACAAGTATCATTGACAAAGATTAGTAACAATGTCGGTGTGCTCTGGGCTTCAGGGGATTCGAAAGGCACCTCAATGAAATTAAGAAGGTCATGGCATTACATTATTGGGTTAGTCAGCATCTTCTCTGTGAAAGAGAAGATTTTTTTTATGTACTGCAGTGTTTGAAGGCTGACTCACCAACCTCTCTCCAGGGGCTGAGCAGGCCTGATGTCTTTCCTGCTGTATCAATAAAAATAATAATAATAATAATAATTGTGTATTGGTTATATTTGTGTACTTCACAATTTGTTGGTAATACGTTTGTGTACAGTGACAGAAAGAGAACCTTTTAAAAAAAGAGGTTTAGGAGACTGTTTTGATAACATTTTGACTTGTCCTGGTGGCTAAATTTGCAATTATCAAGTAAATTAAACGCAACCATCATCATTGTTATTTAACACACCAGGGCTTTTTTAATGTATGTATATATGTATGTTTACAAAACAAACTAAACTAAAATAATAGAGGAAATGTCCTTAGTTTTCATCTTTGTCTCAATCATACTGAGGGAAACACAGCTTATCGTTACAATTTGTCAATTTGTACAGTTTTAAATTTGGAGGAGCTTTCTGACTGCAGATGTTAAATCTTCCGTTATTTATAAAATATTTCATAATTTAATCAATAAAGAATTTGCTTGATATATGTCTCTGAACCACTTATGATACAGAGACAAAAAAAACAAACAAATATTTAACTAAAAACTAAGCATAAAATAAAAACGGAACTAAACTAGCAACAATACGGAAGAGGATTAGGGCCACACATTAAAAAAAAATAGAGTTCTGACTTTATTCTCAGAGTTCTGACTTTAAACTCAGGATTCTGAGTTTAAAGTCAGATCTACGGGTACCTGTAAGGACCAACTCCGGTGGATAGTCACTGTGCAGGACCGTGCAGGACTGACTGGAGCATACTGGAGTGGGAAACAGCAGCAAAAACCTTGGCATGCTTTGTCACTGCTGTGTGTTATCACAGTTATAGTTTAATGATTCTGTATTTTTGTTTTTTGAGTTGCAAGACGATGTACCACCCAGGTGAAACTTTTGTGTAAACTACTATGGAAATGCTTAAACGAGTAGCCAACTTATTCTTTTCACCACATTTACATTCAGTTCTTTAGTTGAATGTTGATGAAGCCCCTTATTCCATATAGGTAAAAAGAGATAGGATAAATAAGGTTTAAAAAAACAGCATTTTGACAATGTTACAAAGCATTTTATTATCATTCATATTGGACACAAATGTAAGAAAGATATTAGTCCGCTGGCATTTATATTGAAGGAAGTGTGTGGACAATTATGAAATGCAAAATGAATAACATTCAGTCCTGCACAGTGACTATCCACTGGAGTTGGTCCTTACAGGTACCCGTAGTCCTGAGTTTAAAGTCAGAACTCTGAGTTTAAAGTCAGAATTCTGAGAATAAAGTCAGAACTCTAAGTTTAAAGTCAGAATTCTGAGAATAAAGTCAGAATTCTGAGAATAAAGTCAGAACTCTGAGTTTAAAGTCAGAACTCTGAGTTTAAAGTCAGAATTCTGAGAATAAAGTCAGAACTCTATTTTTTTATTTTTTATATGTGGCCCAAATCCTCTTCCGTACAACCAGCATTAAAAACTAGTAAAAACTAAACTGAAATTAAAAAACAAAAAGTCAAAACGAAATAAAAAAGAAAAACTAACTCCTCAAATTTGCACCGGAAAACAACGTTTCTCCTCTTGTCCGCCTTCGATGTAGTTCGTTGATGCACTTCCGCTGTGCACCGGATGTTGAGAGGAAATACCGAAGCGCCTCCAAAATACTGAATTGAATTGAGCTAAAATGAGCTCCTGTTGTGTTTGCAAGCTACTGAGGAGATCGTTCATCTGAAAACAGCTGCCTAAAATCTTCCTCTAGTCTCTGTTTGTATCGAGGGAAGCTGCGAACGAGGGTAAGCATTACCTTTCTTGTGTTTAGATGGCATCATGGAGAAGGTAGCTTTGACTAGCTCAGTGTGCTAACGCTAGCGCTCGCTGATTTATTCACTTTCTGTTTCTCCAGCAAAAACATTAAACAAGTGGCTGTTAAAGAGGTGCGTTTGAAATTGTTTAAATGCACGGGGTATCTTTTAGAAATAGACAGCTAGTTGTTTATTTTTACATGAGTCACTTTTTAATTTATAGTTTAATTCTGCAGCTATGTGATGTTTTTTTTTTTTTTTTTAAGATTTGGGAGTTTACGTGTCACCTCACAGACTTTAAACCTTATGTCAATAAAAGTTAATGATATTTGTGATTTACAATGGATTCTATGAGTCAACTAAATTACCACCTGTCTTTCCTGTTGATGAGGATTGTCTTTGTTGACACCTGTTTTTGTTTTACATTGTATTTTGTATTTACATTTCGATCTGTGCAATATTTATTTTACATTTCGATCTGTGCAATATTTATTTTATATTTCTGCAATATTTTACATTTCGATCTGTACAATATTTATTTTATATTTCTGCAATATTTTACATTTCGATCTGTACAATATTTATTTTATATTTCTGCAATATTTTACATTTCGATCTGTGCAATATTTATTTTACATTTCGATCTGTGCAATATTTATTTTACATTTCGATCTGTACAATATTTATTTTATATTTCTGCAATATTTTACATTTCGATCTGTACAATATTTATTTTATATTTCTGCAATATTTTACATTTCGATCTGTACAATATTTATTTTATATTTCTGCAATATTTTACATTTCGATCTGTGCAATATTTATTTTATATTTCGATCTGTGCAATATTTATTTTACATTTCGATCTGTACAATATTTATTTTATATTTCTGCAATATTTTACATTTCGATCTGTGCAATATTTATTTTACATTTCGATCTGTGCAATATTTATTTTATATTTCTGCAATATCTATTTATATTCTGTTATGCTACTACCTGTAAATAACTCCTACCATACATTGCCCATCTTACCTGAATGAGAGTTCCTTTTTTATTTATTTCTTCTTTTGTTGTTTTTAGCTGTGGATGCTTGTATGTGTGTGCACTTTAAGGTGAAGCCAAATAATGTCATTGTACAAATATATAATGACAATAAAGACATTCTATTCTATTTGTTTCTTGCAGAGTTCTTGCTGTGCCTTACCAAATCTGCGACCATGATGGAGCGAAGAAGAGCCTTGACTCTTCCTTTTAATGTTAAAAAGGATAACCTGGTAAATGTTTCTGTTTTGATATGTGAGCTTACAAGTTTTGAGTGCACATCTTGAATTCCTCTCTCATCCTTTGTGATTTACTGCATTGGCTGTTTTGCTGCCATCATAGCTTTTGCTAATGATGTGCTGACTGCAAGTTCTCTATGATCTGGCTTTGCTCTGCGGTCGCTTACATGCAGGCCGCCTCACTGCTACATTGCTGGTATTTCTTATCATCGAGCACTTCCTTGTTGTTATATAATGGATCAAAAAGCTGAAGCATGAATAGCAGGAATCCAGATATTTGTACCCACACAAACCTGCTGCCGTACTACTGCTGTGCCTCAGTTTCCATAAAAATCTGTAACTATAGCCTAAAATAAGTTATTATACAAGTATTTTTTAATTCTATTATTTTGTATTTGATTATTTACAAGTTAAAATCCTTACATATTGTTATTTTAATTACTTCGGCAGTTACAGGTGACGTTTGCAGTCTAAAAAGGACCCGAGTTTGTTTTAAAAATTCTGTGGAATAGTGACAAACCAGAAACAATAGGTTTACCGTTTAGGAGACACTACTTGGTAATAGGAACAAGGCGATTTTATATTATCTGCCTAAAACTAAATGAAAAAGATGACTCAGTTATTTGAATAGTTGCAAAGACATTACTTGCCAACCACCTTTTTCTATACCTGCTGGCTGAATAACTCCATCTCCTTGCTTGTTAACACAATGACAAATAACCTCAGTGTGGTGAATTAAACATCAATGCTTTGCTGTTTGCACTCGCTCCTTTTGCACGTCTAATGAGTAGTTTGTAAGCTTGTGGCTGTTTTATTAACTTCATGTTTTACAAGCATGGTCACTAACTACCCTGTGAATTGTAGGTGGAAAATCCACTCAGAATTCCCATGACATGTCATTCACCAGACTATGGAAAGTTAGAAAGACAGGTATAAAAAAAAAAAAAAATCCTTGCTCTCTGTCTGACCCCATGAAAAAAATGTTGTGGTGGAAACAGGGCTATAATAATTCATTGTAATTCTCACGCTGTTCTATTTCCCTGTAGCAGGTGTCCTGGACGGCGTTTGCAGGTTGTAAACTCGGACAGCTGGATTCACCGCATAAAAATGGATCCAAGAATTTCGATCACATCCTCGCTGTCATGGGCAGGTAAGCAGGCGCTCACTAGAGAGCTTTATTTGAAGAGCCTTAACAAGTTATTGACTGTTGATTTCAATACCTGGTCATTGTTCTGCCACTCACAATAAGAATGGGGTTTATTGCCAAGTAAGTTTGCATTAATAAACTTCGACATCTGCTCGTTGGTCAGCTCTCCTCGCTTATTTTCAGCATGTGGAGGCATTGATCTTGAATTATAAGTATGCATGGAAATACAGGAAAGATCACACAGTTTATGTAGTAAGAGACAGCAGAAGAAACAGAACGGTGAGAGTAAGAACTGTCTTTCCTCATGAACATGACACTTGTTGGCACTGCGCTGCTTTATTATATCATGTTGATCATATCTTTACATTTAATTCAATTCAATTCAGTTTTATTTGTCAAGCACATTTCATACAAATGTAAACTCAATATGCTGTACAGAAGAAAACAAATAAACAAACACAATACAAACTATTTAAAATAATAAACAAAAAAAACCATGAAAAAATAAAAGAATAATAACTAGACTAAATAATAATTTAGTGTTCTACTCTTCCCTTCACATTGCTGGATCGTCTCATCGTCTATTAAAAATGAAGTGCAGTCTTCCTAACTATGTTCCTGTATAAATTGTCTGTTTATTGTAATTGAGCTCTTTGTATTTTATATGTGCACATTCGTACCGTCTCTCCCAGTTTATGAAATAAGTAAAATATGTAATAGCAAAGGTTTTGCCTAAATGTACAGCCACAGAGCCTAAACTCCTTGTTTAGTTTTAATTTATATATCACACATGTCGGCCTTATTTACTGTTTTACTCATAACACATGAAGTGAGTGA